TTCACAGCAGCAGAAACCCTGCGGTAGCCCAGGCTAACCTTGAACTTGAAATGTTTCAGCCTAGTGATTACAGGTGTGTGCTGCCACACCCAGTTACCAAAGGGTAGCAGATTTTACTCTCATGGTCTCCATCAACTCTTTCATTTCATTGGTCTTTGTGAAAATTCTAGAAGATTAGAAAAGTAGTAAAAATATATTCCTCATAGTTAACAAATACGACATCCACACAAAGAACTGTAATGAAAACACTTTAAGATCACATATAATACACATATGATACACAAGCACAAAATATTAAGGACAATATGCAAACTAACACGCACAGCAATGAGCATATACGAGCATATAAAGGCATATCCTCCCTATATAGATAGATGCAAACTCTGCACAATCCATCTGCATGGAACTGCGTGCATGACAGGGAAAGGAAAAGCTGTCAGGAGGGAAATAAGCCGAAATGTTATTTCCTGGTGGCAGGCATTTAGTTGATAGATATTACTTCTTTATGTTTCTCTTAGGGGTTCTCTGCAATGAGCCTATACCATCCCTATGATGAGAGAAAACTGTGGAGAAAGCAGATTCCTCCTGCTCATAAAGCCAAGTGGTGTGGCAATGTAACAATAGGGTGAGATCTTAAACTGTGGGCACTTTCCTAGTAAAGGTAAGCTATACAACCAGAAGAGAAATCAGAGCGTCTTCTCTCACAGGGTCGCTCTGTTGTTTGCACTGTTTTGGGGCGGCATCTCAAATGCCCAGGCCTCAAGCTTGGTTCCTCGCCCTCCTACCTCCACGTCACAGTGTATGCCATCATCCCAGATCGCTTCTCAGTTTTGAAAGTCTTTAATTTAGATTAAAGCCGATTTTTGTGTGATACTAAGATCAAAACATTTCCTCTCCGGACTCGGCACATGCCATGAATACAGCGACTGAGAGATGGTGACACGAAGCTCAGAGTTCAACACAATCCTCAACCTCACAGTGGGTCTGAGTCTGGCCGGGGTAACATGAGACAGCTTCCAGAGGGGAGGGATGGGGGAGTGACAGGAAGGGAGAAGAGGGGATGTCTATTCCGATTTCAGGACACATGGAAAGTGTTCCTCAAGCAGTGTCAGGAAGTCACTATCCTTTGACTGTTCTGGGGTTTTGGTTTCATTAACCACGAAATAGACTACAGCAGTAAGTGCGGTCCAGTGATCTGTGCCTACAGTCCCAGCACTTGGGAGGCCGAGGCAGGAGGACTGTCACGTTTAAAGCCAATCTGGGCTATAAGATTAAATCTTGTCACAAAATAAATAAATAAATAATTCCCAAGCCCCCCACAAAGTAATAAAATAAAATAGAGCACCTCAGCAGAGGTCTTCAACACCTCTGAAACTGGGGCGGTCCTTACCATGGACACCACCTGACGCAGGGCTCCAAGGTGTCTAACTGAGACCTGTATCACCCTGTACAACAGGGAGAGAAACCAGTGCGAGGGCAGAGCCGCGCAAGCAGGTGAAGCAGCCCAGCCCCCGTTAGTCTACACTAAACCCAACACATCTTCCGCTCTGGTCCGTGTGGACCCTCTTTCATCGTTACCTGAAAGGCTGAACATTCAAGGGTAGAAGCTTTCTAGTTTTTTTCAAATGATAAAATAAAAAGACCAATGACCTGACTTTCCCAAAAGTCTCCAAGGCAGACTAGAGTTGTACATCTATGCACTTAAGTAAACGAGAGAGGAGATTTCAAAGAACACAGCCAGACCTGCATTGCCAAGTAAAAAGTGACTGGAAGTCTACAGGAACAAAGCAAAAATGGACAGTTTGGGCAGAAGTGTGAGGATCAAACCCAGGGCTCCGTGTGTGTAAGAAGGCACTCTACCAAGTAAGCTACTAGTCCCAGTCAACAACTGCCAACTCAAGGGCATTTGAATCAAATCACAAGTTTATCAGTTAGCTGTAATGATTCATTTAGAACAAAGCACTACACATCAATGCAGGGAACCCTGCTACAGACCCTGTAATCGCAAACAGGAGGCAGAAGGCTGCCAGCTGAGGCCTGGGCCACAGAGTTGGGTTCAAGGTCTCTAAACAAGATCTGTTAGCCGGGCGGTGGTGGCGCATGCCTTTAATCCCAGCACTCGGGAGGCAGAGGTAGGCGGATCTCTGTGAGTTCAAGACCAGCCTGGTCTACAGAGCTAGTTCCAGGACAGGCTCCAAAGCCACAGAGAAACCCTGTCTCGAAAAACAAAAACAAAACAAAACAAAATCTCTGTTAAACAAACAAATAAATGGGACTAGCGATGATGCTCAGGGTTAGGAGAGGGATTGCCTAACATGTGTAGGACATAGGTTTACCTCCTAGTACCTCAATCAATCAATCATTAATTAATCAATCAATCAAATCATAGACTAAAAACTTAGGCGTACAAGATGAGGAGGACATATTCAAAGCAAGGGGGTAGGAAAACTGTGGTCAGAAGAATGAGCTAGAATTTGAGGACTGTGGTGTATTATTTTGATGGGTGAAGGCATAAGGGTAAAGCACACTGGTAGAAAAGAATTCCCCACCGAGGGTATGAAACAGGAAAGAATACAATGTAAGCCCGACTTTCCCACTACACGTTCCCTTCCATTGTCCCCAGCAGGGCATAAGTAACGATCAGAGACCTGAGACACAGTGGGATATCTACCTTCAAACCAGGGTTAAGACTGGGGTGTGCCCCTAACAGCAGGAAGTAGATCACATAACAAGGCCTTGTCCCATACACATAATTAATACTGTGGGCTAAATTAATGCCCACTCTCCTCTCAGCTACTTCTTTTTTTATTTCATTCATTACTTCATCCTGATTTCAAATGACCAAACCAGGGAATCTGACACTGACTTATTTATTTACTGATACTGTTTTTATTTTATTTACTGATACTTATTTATTTACTGATGGGCATACAAATACCACAGCACAACGTGGAGGCCAAGGAACAACTGAGGGAGTCAACTCCCACCTTCCACCAAGTGGGTTCCAGGACTGAATTCAGGTTGTCAGCTGGGGCGACAAGAGCCCTTATTCCTTACGGCATCTCACAGGTCCTAGAATTTAATTTATTCACTATAAATAAAGCAGATAATGGAGTACTCTTTTTTTAAAGCTATAAGCCAGGTACGGTAGCTCAGACTAGGAATTTCAGCACTCTGAGGTTGAGGCAGGGGGACTGTTTTGAGTTCAAGCCCAGCTCAGGCTACATAACAAGAGCTTGTCCCAAACTAACTTGTATTGGGCCCAATTAGCAATGCAGCCAACTTAACAATCATCCTCAAGTCTACGCAGTTGAAATATGGCACCTGGTGGTCTTTTCAAAGACTTATTTTTATTTTTAAGTATGTGTGTATAAACACGTACATATATGCATCATGTATGTGCCAGTGCCTGTGGAGACCAGCAGAGGGAATCAGATTCCCTAGAGCTGGGAGTTGGTGGTGGCTGTAGGCTGCCTGACGTAAGTGCTGGAAACCAAACTTGGGTTCTCTGCAAGAACAATCACTCTTAAGCACTGACCCATCCCTCCAGCTCCACATTTTTGAGACAAGGTCTGCTATGTAGCCCAGGCTGGCCTTGAAGTCATAGCAATCCTCCTGTCTCAGCCTCTCAGTTGCTGGGATTATAGATTATAGGCATGTATGTGCCACCCACCTGGGCTAATAAGTCTTTAAATAGGGCCTTATATTGGAGCAATGAAGTACTAGTCAGAAAAGACACTGTCTGAACCAGAAAGATGGTGTAGCTCCTGCTGTCACACCTGAAAATCTGACTTCAGTCCCTGGGACCCACACGATGGGAGGAGGGAACCGATGCCACAACTCTCCTCTGACCTCCCCACGCGTGTGTAACACCCCCATACGTCCCACAACAAACACAGAACACACAAAATGTACTTTAACCACTTTTGAACACCACTTTCTAAAGCAGCTCAGTAGACGTCACAAGCGCACTTAGGGGGTGTGTGTGAAGAGTACTCTACGAATTTGAAACTAATAAATTCTTGTACTGATATTTCCAGTAACAGCATCATCCATCCTAGACCCAAGAAAGTGCGGCATTTCAAACAAATCAGATGAAAGGGAACATCCCCTTGGCCTTTAAAGGGAACTTAAAAACTAAAACAGGCATTGGATACTGAGCATATCTTCAATTTTGCCAATGAACTTTGATCGTGACCTCACTGGGAAAGGGAAAATTTTAACACGGTCAAATTTAAATTATATATTATTAGAAAATTTAAAGGCACTGCCTAGTCTATATGGTTCATAGGACAGTCCATCCACATTTAAAATGGCTCCACACTAGATTTTAAAATGATCTCACCATCCCCGACAGCACACCTAACAGAAGCAGACGTAGTAGGAACTATGCCAGGACTCTTCACAAAGTGCTCCCAGGCACATCTAACCAGCCGTCGTGGCGAGCAGAGAGAAGGGCCACGTGCATTCTTATGAGCGGGAGAGTGACAGATCTCACTTCCTTATAAGAAAGGCAGACAGGTCTTCAACAAGTAGGAAGAGGTGGCAGGCACTTGTGATCCCAGCACTCAGGAAACGCAGGCAGGGGGAGCTATAGTTCCAAACCAGCCTGGATTAGACAGGAGTCTCCAAAGATTAAAAATAAACCAGAAATGGGGCTGGGCCAGAGAGACGGTTCTGCTGGTAAAATGCTCGCTGCCGAGTCTGACAACCTGAGTTCAATCCCGGGGACCCACAGGGGAACTGAGAGAACCGACTCCGGCAAGACATCTGACCTCCATCTATGCGCCCAGCGCGCGCGCGCGCACACACACACACACACACACACACACACACACACACACACACATGCGCACGCGCACGATAACATAAACAAAATAAAATAAAGACTGTGAAGACCACAGACACATAAAACCTATAAAATAAATGAGGAATATTTAAACTGTTACCTTTACCTAAAGCCCCAATTTCTGCTTCTGAAAAAAAAAAAAGATACCTACCTCTGCTTCTGCTGCCAACTGCCTCTTCTTCGCTATCAACTGTTTCATGGTAATGCGACCTAAGAGAAATAAAAATAACTGAATGTTTAAAACAGAATTTTAAGTTGACTCTCAAACAGCAATAAACCATGAGGTCGAAAGTAATCAAATATAAAGAAGAATGCACACACTCCAGTGCACGACACGACAGTGCCCATTGGAAAGACACACGAGCAGCTAAGATGCTTACAGACACAGGTGCGGGTTCACAAGTCAGGTCCCAGAACAGATCTTCACTAGGGACTATGAAGACACTGAGTAAAGTGTTAAGGATGAAAAACTTATTTTTAAGACTGGGACTGGAGGCTTCAAGGCTCTGGGGTTAAGAGTGCTTGCAAAGGACCCACGCTAGTTCCCAGCCTGTCAGGCTGCTCATAACTGCCTGTCCCTTTCTCCAGGGCATTTGCACTCACATGTGCACACATGTTCATACATAAATACAATTAAGGCTGGGCGGTGGTGGCGCACGCCTTTAATCCCAGCACTCGGGAGGCAGAGGCAGGGGGATCTCTGAGTTCGAGGCCAGCCTGGTCTACAAAGGGAGTTCCAGGACAGGCTCCAAAGCTACAGAGAAACCCTGTCTCGAAAAACCAAAAAAAATACAATTAAATTTTTTTTAAATATTTATTTATTTATTATGTATACAATATTCTGTCTGTGTGTATGTCTGCAGGCCAGAAGAGGGCACCAGACCTCATTACAGATGGTTGTGAGCCACCATGTGGTTGCCGGGAATTGAACTCAGGACCTTTGGAAGAGCAGGCAATGCTCTTAACCACTGAGCCATCTCTCCAGCCCCTACAATTAAAATTTTTAAAAAAATCTTAAAAGGATTCATTGCAAAGCTGTTCCAAAACCACAGGAACAAAAGATAAAATGAAACTAGAACGCTAAGGAATACGTGACAGGCACATGGATTCTTGGCTGCCACACAGAATGTGGTCCTTTCACAGAGCACCCAGGGTCTGGTGCCTTACAGAATGGCAAGACCGAGGCCTGTTATAGCTAAGAACTCATACGGTCACACCCGTGGGACGGTCACATCCGCAGGATTCTGGACATAAAGGAAAGGTGTCTGTCTCTACTTCAAAGACAGAACAGTCTCCCTGAAATCTTGCAACACTTCAGTGGATTTCGCAACCTAAACTTTTGTTATCTCAAAAACCTTAAAGTGTGTTTATTTGAAAGCAAACTCAAGATGTGTCCCCAGACTGCCAACAGATAACTCTAATTTCTCCCTGGAAGGTCACAGAACCAGCCAAGGTCTTCAACAGTTCCAGCAGAGAGAGTTCAAGAAGGAAGGAGAAGCTCCTGGTTGCCAACCCTAAGACATTCCAGATAACAGAACCAAGAGGGAAGGGGGAGGGAAGAAGAGGCAGGGGACGAGGGTGGGGTTGGAAAAACTAAAGACATTAGCACTGTCATAAAAAGAGTTTACTTATTTAGACAATGCTTCACTGTGTACTGCTGACTGGCCTGAAACTCCCTATGCAGACCGTGTGGGCCTTGAACTCAGAGTTCTGCCACCTGCCTCTGCCTCCTGGGTACTGGGATTAAAGGTGCAAGACCCAGGACAGTCTTAAATACAATGAGACTGTCTAAAAAAAAAAAAAAAAAAGACAAAAAGACAAAAAGAACGAAAAAATTAGACTTGCAATATTTATTCTTCATGAATAAATGTTAGCTAACATTGATAAATTTACTACATTTAACAGATCCATCTAAAGACTATTCATAGGCTATGCTAAATTGGTTGTTGCACCTGTCTAGTAAAAATTCTTTTGGTCAGTGAGACAGATCACAGGTAAAGTGCCTGCCTGCCACCAAGCCTGAGGACCAGAGTTCAATTCCAGGACCAAAGTGCTAGAAGGAATGAATTGACTCCTGAAAGTTTCCTGACCTTGAGGTTACACACTTACACACCATAAAAAAAAAAATTTAATTTACATCCTATTCCTGAGGTATCAAAAATCTTACTTTAATGTGGTTTGAAAACCTAAGCTACACCTTTCCTGCTGATCTTCACCACACCTGCTCCCTGAACTTCTATCTCACGTCAGAACTAGGACAACCGTGCTGCTACATAGATGACATCGTTTATTAGTTCCAAACTCGCTTTGTACACACGAAACTCTTCCTTCGGACTCTTAGAGCAAGTACACAAACAGAATACTCAGACCTATAGGATCACGGGGTGGGGTGTGTGTGTGTGTGTGTGTGTGTGTGTGTGTGTGTGTAAAAGAAGGCCTACAGGAGCACGGGGCACTCTGTATGTGTGTGTATAAGGAACTGTAACAGAGTCAATATTTGAGCTAAGGAGCTGGGAGTATATAGTTCAGTGGTAGAATGCTTGGGCTAAGGCCCTGAGTTTGAACCCTCTGAGCAATGCAAATAAAATAAAATAAAATAAATCAGATATTTAATATATACATACTTTATGTGTATACGTTGCATATTTTATTATATGTATATTATTAGTGGGTATTTTATGTATATACACATATATGTATAGATCGATAGAGTCTCAAATGATAAAGAAAAATTATGGTAAGTATATGCTAAGATTTTTCCAGAGAGAAGAAAATAACATAAAGACTTGTTGGATTTCTGGGAATTTAACCTGGATCGGTGTGGGACAATTCTGTATTCTGTCAATTATGTTTTAAATACGCGGTGATTGGCCAGTAGCCAGGCAAGAAGTAAAAGTGGGACAACCAGACAGTAAGTAGAGGTGGGGCAAGAAGAATAGGAGAATTCTGGGAAGAAGGGAGACCATTCCTCCCAGTCCTGCCCAGACCACCGCAGAAGCAGGATGTGACTGGCCCTGCTGAAAAAGGTTCTGAGCCATGTAGCTAACATATACTAAAATAATGGGCTAATATAAGTTATAAGAATTAATAAGAAGCCTGAGCTAATGGGCCAATCAGTTTATATCTAATGTAGAACTCTGTAATTTTTCCTTGGGGCCTAACGGCCGTGGGAACTAAGCAGAACAGAAACCCCAACAAGCAGACCCTCATGTTACATGGATTAAATGCCAAAATCTCATCACTTTACAATATTGTATTTAATGTTTTTTGCCAAAAGGAAGATATTATATACTTGTTTTCTAGGTTACCAGTTGCATGGTAAATCAGTGCTGACTAAGGTGATACTCACTAACTACATAGCCCAGGCTGGCCTCAAACTCACAGTAATCCTCCCGCCTCAGTCTGCATTACTGACACAAGCCATAGTGCCCAGTTAAGTAAAACTTTGATTTGTTTTCTAACAGTATCTTACATAGCCCAGGCTAGCCTTAAACTCAAGCTCTGCCTGCATACAGCTCACAAATTCTAGGACTATAGGTGGTGACAGCACAGCTTGTCTAATAAGGCTTATTAAAAGTTACAAAATAAAGGCCAGGCCGTTGTGGCACAAGTCTTTAGTTCCAGCACTTGGGAGGCAGAGACAGTCAGATCTGCCTCAGAACCCTGTCTCAAAAAACAAAAACAAACATACAAAAAGGTTACAAAATAAAACTTGTAGTTAAGTGGGCAGACTGGAATCTGCTTCTATGGCATAGTAGGAAAGTATCAAAATGATAGAAAACAGGCCTGGCTGGAGAGAGGGCTCAGCAGGTAAGAGCACTTGACTGCTCTTCCAGAGGTCCTGAGTTCAATTCCCAGCAAGGTGGCTCACAACCATCTACAATGGGATCTGACTCCTCCTTCTGGTGTGCATGAAGACAGAGCACTCATACCCACAGTACATGAATAAATACACCTTTTAAAAAAAACAGACTCTATTCTAAAAAGGAAGAGTTTCAGAAATCCTTCATGTGTGGCAGACAGCTGGCAAATGCAGAGAGAGACACAGGAAGTGTGGCTGGGTGCTGGCCACACCTCATCCAGAAGGTAAACCAGGAAGCCTGGTGAGAAGAAACTTGCAGCCTACCCGCAGGCCTAGGCCAGCTCTCAGCCCATCTACGGCCTTGCTGAGACTGTGACCCAGTGCCATCTTAATAGGAAACACATTGTTAAATCCAAGCTGGGGGACCCAGAGGTGGTGGCAGGTGAATCTGAGTTCAAGGTCAGCCTGGTCTACAGAATGAGTTCTAGGACAGCCAGGGCTACACAGAAAAACCCTGTCTCGGAAAACAAAACAACAAACCAGAGCTGGGGGATGATAAGGTGCCTCAGCTGGTGAAGGTGCTGCCGAGCCTGACGACCTGAGTTTGACTTCCCAGGACCCACACTGTAGAATGAGAGCACCGACTCCCACAGTTGTCTCCTGACCCCATGCAAAGGCCACAGCGCTGTGCTGCCACACTGGGGGTGGGGGGGAGTGGGGGATGAAGCAGGAAGGAAGTTCACCTAGATAGAGTTCAAGGTCAGCCTGGGCTCTAGGGTAAGATGCTGTCTCAAAGCCCGAGCGCTACAGCTCCCACAAGCCGTCCTCTGCCCTCCACCCCTGCTATGGCACGTGTGCACCCACACGCACACATGCACATCACACACACATAACAAATAATTAAAAAAAGAAATGAAAACCATTTCTTGGTGTGTTAATTTGAAAAGTAATTTTAAAAATGAAAAGGGAGCCAGGTAGCACTCGCGGTTAAGCCCAGCACTCGGGAGGCAGGCGGATCTCTGTGAGTTCGAGGACTGTCTTGAAAAACAAAAGCAAAGTTAAAATGGAAGTCATATAAAAGTATATTTGGTTTAGAGTAACAAAAAACAAAATCACACTAATAAAATCCTGACTTTGAGATGAACTATTTTAAAATAACCAACAGCTCTTTCCAACAACCCATTCAACCTTCTTAGCCAACCATCCTGTACAATTTTACTGTCGCTATAGCATGTCCTGCAAAGACGGCTTCCCTTCACTTTCTCACTGCCCTTCTCTATCAGTCACTGTGACCTCTGGATCGCTAAATCTTTATCTTACAATTGGACACATCTGAGCTTGTACAGAGTCTAATTATGAGGCGACAGGTATGCTAATTACCTTGGTCTAATCACTGCTAACACTGTCAAGATCTACTCACACACCTAATCAATTACTCCACTGACAACCTGTAAAGAATTATCATACATAAATAATTTAACTTTTAAAACACAGGGAGAAAAGCAGAAGTTTGTACCAATTTTTAAGTTCAAAATAGATAAGCTGACTCAAAGAAATAGACATCTTGCACATTGTCACGTGATCAGTAGACAACTGAGCCTAGTTAAAACCATGTCTTCTAACACTCCCAGTGGCCCAGGAATACACAAAAATCTTAAGCTTGAGCAAGTGTGCTCCTGCTGGTGACCATGGAGGGCTGCACGGTGACGGCCGTTTTACAGGTTTGTCTGCCCGCAGCAAGTCCAGAATTACCTAATGCAGAGGCACTAACTAGCAAGTTTCTGTTGCCAACTGAAGCCCAGACTGATTTTAAGTTTCTCGTTATTGCTGGAGAGTTGGCTCAGTGGTTAAGAGTACTCTGTAGAGGACCCAGGTTCAATTCCCAGCACCTACATGGTGATTCACAACCATCTGTACCTCCAATTCTAGGAGATCCAATGACCTCTTCTGTCCTCTGCTGGTACCAAGCACGCATGTGGTTCACATTCATACATGCAAGCAAAATGCTCATACACAGTACATAAACATTTTTTAACCTTCCGATTTTTTTTTTCAAAAACATCCCACTAATCATTTTCTTAGACCACCTTCATCCTAGCTTTAACATTCTTGCCATGAAGAGATGAAATTAAGAGTCATTTCAAAGCCATCACCATGTCCATATGGGTTTTGTGTCTATGGTTTTGTTTTTTGCAGGTTTTTGGTTTTGGTTTTTTGTTTGTTTGCTTTTCTGAGACAAAGCCTCGGTTATCCGAGGCTAGCCTCAAACTTGCTACATAGATGAACTCAGGCTTGAACTCTCGGTTCTCCTGCCTCTACCTCTGTTGGCAATTGCACTCACGCATGCACATACCCCCCCCCCACACACACAAATAAATAAAAATAAAATAAACCTTAAAAATAAAACTTTCAGCACAATTAAAATTATCCGTAAAGGTTGCTGACAGAATATGTCCCTTGAAGGGACAGTTCCAATAAGAATGTTCAGTCAGGGTGGTCACACACGACTTTAATCCCAGTGCTCGGAAGACCGAGACAGGCAGATCTATAGCTCTGCACAGAATTCCAGGACAGCCAGAGCTACAGACAAACAGTGCCTTGAAAACCCACGAAAGGCTGCTCAAAGAGCACCAAATCACGCTTAGGAACAGAAGATCCTTTCATAGATGTAAACATGCAATTCTCGGTGCTGGAGAGATGGCTCAGAGGTTAAGAGCATTGCCTGCTCTTCCAAAGGTCCTGAGTTCAATTCCCAGCAAAACACATGGTGGCTCACAACCATCTGTAATAAGGTCTGGTGCCCTCTTCTGGCCTGCAGGCATACACACAGATAGAATATTGTATACATAACAAACAAACAAATAAATAAATACATAAATAATAAAAATAAAAATTTAAAAAAACATGCGATTCTCCGGCAGCTCAAGAAAAAGAATGTAAACTTCTCCGTGGTAAAGCGGGTCTGAACTCCCTGAGCAGCCTTTATGACCAGTGGTTTACTTATCAGATAATAATCTACCCAAGGCACCTCAGGAAACCCTGTGATCTCATTTACTGGAAAAGAGGAGGGAAAAGTGCCTGAGAAACTCTCTGGAGGACCTCAGTGGCCACCGAGATCACAGATAAGGATATAAGACACTCTTGAGAAGCCCACACCACCTTAGGTCTGTACAACCCTCTCCCTGTACAACCCTCTCTACTCTGAGTATTTGCTGAGACCTGGTCTCACTGTATAATCTTGGCTAGCCTCCCTGCCTCTGCCTCATACACATACAAGTATTTTTTTTATTTATTTTAGATTTATTTTACATATATGAATGTTTTATCTATGCACTATGAACATGTATGTCTGTGCACTGTGTCATGTGTATGTGCACTGTGCATGTGTGTGTCTGTGCACTGAGATGTGCCTGAGGAAATCAGAAGAGTCAGATTCCCTAGAGCTGGGGTTAGGATGGTCGAAAGGCGTTATATGGAGCTGGGACTAAATACAGGTCCTATGCAAGAGCAGGGAGCACTTTTAGGCACTAAGCCATCTCAGTCCCCCAACATTATTATCTTTGGGGTCACTATGGCTTCACAGAGATCTACCTGCTTCTGCCTCTTGAGTGCTAGGATTACAGGCAGTGCCACTAAGCCTGTGGTAAAGTTTAATGAAGTCAGGACATCACCGTTCTTCACAGCAGTGGTATCTGACCGCAAAGCCCAATCGGTACCATCTCGCAGGCTCACACACTTCACACCTCGGGGAACCATCTAGCGAGTTCTTTCACACTTCACACCTGGGGCCCCAGTAGGAGATTCTGACTCAGAGCTCAAGCTACTGTATTGGATCATTTCTTCATTCAAGGAAGATTCTCATTCACACCCCAGATGAAATGTGACACACTAAAAGCTATGTCTCAAGATGATGGTGCACACCCACGATCCCAACACTTGGGAGGTAGAAGCAGGAGGAGCAGAAGTTCAAGGCCAACTTCAAATACATAACAAGTTACAACCCAGCTTGGCCTACATGAGACCCTGTCTCAAGAAAAACTAATAAATGAATAAAAGCGGTACCTCAAATCTTAACCTGTATATGAACCACCAAGAATCCTATTAAAATTAAATTTAACTCAATGCATGTGAGATGAAGCAGCAAGCTCCCTGGTTGGCCTGGCTATTCGGCCACACTGAAAGGCCTTCAAGCCAATGCAATTCAAAGGTCACAGTTTACTCATCCACATTCCGCAAACATTAACGTGAAGAAACGCTTTCTTTTCCATCAGCACTACCTTCACTAAGGAGGGTGCCACACAGCTTAATTTAAGCGAAACAACATAATTCTGTAACAGCTGTATTAAAACCTAGGATGGTTCCAACTCATGGCTGTGGATCTAGCTCAAGAGAATGTTTGCCGAGCAAGCAGGAAGCCCTGCACGAGAACTGGGCTGGGTGCCGAATGTCTCTAAACCCCGCACTTGGGAGATGGAGCAAGACTACATAGAAAAGCCCTTTGACAAAACAAAACAGCTTTTAAAAAACAAAATATAAGGAGAATAAATAGTGTGTGATGATGCTGACAGACAGTTTCAGTCATACCTTTTCTGTCTCTAAGTATTAGCACTAGAAAAAAATAAATGGAAACCTAATTCGTGGGAATCCAGGCCGAGGAGAGCACCCAGACTACGACCATGAATACGAGGGAAGAAGACTGCTTCACTCTTTGCAGCACACCAGGACTCGACCACGTGCGATATGTAGGCAATAAATAGCTGGGTCTGTCAATAAACCTCATTACACCAACTAAACAGCCTCATTCACAGTCCTGGTGCGATCTGGCTGCCGATACTTGCAATTAAAGTACAAAAGGCTAAATAGAGAGAGAGCCTCTTTATGAAAAGAAGTCTGAGGATGCCAAAGACAACCTCTTCTCCAGAAGTCCCTCTCCTATTTGTTAACCAAACCTGTCTTGAGTTTCAAATCCCTGCAAAAGCAAAACTAAACAAATGTCACTGCAAAAAATAAACAACCCGATGGCAGATGACATCACGAGGGCGGCTTCTCTGCAGCTACCATTCTTAACCACACGCCTCGACCTCGACAAGAGCTGCATTGTGCTCTCCGTGCACTAAGCAAATAAATGCCCTAATCGCCCTCTCTCCTAGGGTTTAGACGTCAGTTCAGACCCTGCTCCTTACTCGATCTTTGTTCATTCTATTGTAAGAATAACTAGTCACTGGGCAGTGGCAGCGCACGCCTTTAATCCTAGGACGTGGGAGGCAGAGGCAGGTGGCCTCTGTGAGTTCCAGGACAGGCTCCAAAGGTACAGAGAAGCCCTGTCTTGAAAAACAAACAAAACAAAACAAAAATTAGCAACTTTGAGATTATACTTATTTATAGTAATTCAGTTATGTGGGGTTTTTGTTTTGTCTTTTTGGGTTTTGTTGTTGTTGTTGTTGTTGTTATGCTGGGAACAATCCCAGGGTCTCAGTGAATTACACCCCCGGCTATTCATGATTTTGAGGACTCTACCATTCACTTAACTCAAAGCCCCATAAATGAGAACACATGTATTGAACATGTATTGATCACTACTATAACCAAAGATCCATCAAGACATTTCCATAATTACTGGTAGGCTAGGCTGGCTGAATGAATGGATAATATCTAAAACACAGTAGAAATGTTTGTTGAATTAATTTTTATGTATTTACTTTTATTTTATGTGTACAGATGTGTACTGGATGGTTTCGTGTGTCAACTTGACACAAGCTAGAGTCATCAGAGGAAGGAGCCTCAGATGCGGAAATGCCTCCATGAGATCCAGCTATAAGGTATTTTCTCATTTAGTGATCAATTGGGGAGGGCCCAGCCCATGGTGGGCGGTGCCATCCCTGGTCTGCTGGTCCTGGGTTCTATAAGAAACAGGCTAAGCAAGCCAAGGAAAACAAGGCAGTAAGCAGCACTCCTCCATGGCCTCTGCATCAGAGCCCGCCCTCCAGGATCCTGCCCAGCTTGAGTTCCAGCCCTGACTTCCTTCAGTGGTGAACAGCAATGCTGAAGTGTAAGCAAATAAACTTCTTCCTCCTCAACTTGCCTTTTGGTCATGGTGTTTTCTCACAGCAATGGAAACCCAGGATATTTTGTCTGCATGTATGCCGTGTGCCCTGTGTGTGCAAGGCTCTCAGAAGCCAGACAAGGGCAGCAGAGTCCCTGGAACTAGAGTTCAGAACCACCTCTCCAGTTATCACTAAATTAATATGAACTTACTATCAGATCTATAAAACCACCAGTACACACATTTGTAGTAAAAAATTGCAAGAAATGCCCTGGAACAGTGAGCTCGTTTTCTGGTTCATTAATTTACCTCAGAAACAGTAAAAACCTCACCATTTCTCTGGGTTTCCAAGAGATTTCTCTGGGCTTCATCTTGCTCGGGATTTTCACCAGATTTTAGCAGCCGGTTTCTTAGTGACATCTTTTCTTCTCCCACCATCGAGCTGCCTAGGAAAGAAGGACCAGGAATAAAGACGCTGAATGCTCCCCACAGGAAGGAGTGATTCGTGGACAAGCCCCTGTCCTGACAGATCAGTACACAGCACAATACCACTGCACATCATGGGTGTGCATGTGTTGGTTAAAAATCTGAAAAAGGAAACAAAAAGCAAAGAAAGCCAGCCTACAAACCACAATCCCAGAGAACTTAGACAACCATGAGGATACTAAGAGAGACTTACATAGATCTAATCTACCTGGGAAGTAGAAAGTAGAAAAAGACAAGATCTCCTGAGTAAATTGGGAACATGGGGACCTTGGGGGGAGGGTTGAAGAAGAGGGAAGAGGCAGGAGCAGAGAAAAATGTAGAGCTCAATAAAAATCAATAAAAAAAATCTGGAAAAGGTGGGGAATGAAGCTCAGGGGTACAGCACTTGCCTAGCATACATGACTGACACCCTGAATTCGAATTATGGTATCACAAAAAGATTTAATTTCATTTAAAAATTAAAAGCTTTGAACTAAATTATCTGGCTAGTTCAATTTCATATGATTACTATGCCTAAGAGAGGTAAAAAATGATATGTTGTCTGTCTCTGATTTTATTTTAATCAGCTTTAATACTTTTTGAATATAAGATATTGCAGCAAACTGACAGAAATTAGCCGCTCTCACATGTTGGCTAGTTTCAAAGGCCTTTTTAGACAAAGCCCCCATTCCCAATGAACAATTCAGCTGAGCAAAGCACTGGCTGATCACTTGAAAACTTAAGAACAGCAGGAGAGCCGGGCATGATGGCTTAAGCCTTTAACATCAGCAGGGGATCTTTGTGAATTTGAGGGCAGTTGGGTCTATCTGCCTTTCGGAATAGCCATATAGAGAGACCCTGCTTCAAAACAAAAACAAAAACAACATCAGATGATGACAGCGGTACGTAATAAGGAGAGTCCTCTGATTCCTAGCCAGAGGAACCCCATCTTCCACAAGCCACCATCTGACAGTTCTGCAAGCCACTCTCCCCAAGACTGAAGTGTCTTCCCAGACAGCAGAAGGGCTATGATGAAGCACGCATACAAGTGACTCCCACAGTACACTGGTCTGTGCTTTATACAGGGCTGAGTCTGCTGCAGTCACCCCCAGTGCGGTACCCCACGGTTGTCTGAGAGTTATGGTGTGTGAACCTGCAGTCACCTCTGGGCTCTGCTCTCAAGCCAGGTTTGCACCAACTCTGCTGCCGACTTTCCAACAGGGGCTGGGGATGGAGGAGGGGAGACACATCTATCTTTAGCTGTCCACAGCTCCTTCCACAATCCCTAGTAAATTCTGTGTACCTTCTAGACAAACTCGATTGAATCATTCCCTCAGGCTGCTGGTGCTAGTCCAGTTTGGAAGCAGATGTTCATTTTACATCTCTTAGGAACAGTCACACACAACACCACAAGTTAGGGTATGGTTACCACGTCAGTAGTAATAAATGCAAGCATCTAGAGTTCAAAGAGAGGCTAGATCAGTAATCAAATAACGGTTTCAAGAGAAAGGATGTCATTGACAGAGCTTTGAAGGGCTAGAGAGAAGTCTCAGAGGTCAAGGTTCCTATTGCTCTTCCATGCGACACATTTTGGTTCCCAGAACCTCTGTCAGATAGCTCACAACCACCTGCAACTCCAGCTCCAGGAGACCAGACAACCTATCTCTGGCAGCACCAGTACACACACCGCAAATAAACCATACATGCATAAACACAGGAGAATCCTGTTAGCAGATAACTTGTCTTTTCCCTGGTGATGTGGGATTCCCCTCTGAATGCTGTGATTACCATAAATGAATAAAGAAAACTGGTTTGGCCTGATAGGGTAGAATAGAGGAAGGCAGAGAAACCTAAACTGAATGCTGGGAGAAAGAAGGGAGGAGTCAGAGAGAAGCCATGTAGCCCCCTCCGGAGACAGACGCCAGAACTTTAGCCAGAACTTTAGCTGGTAAGCCACAGCCACGTGGCCATACACAGATTAATAGAAATGAGTTCAATTAATATGTAAGAGTTAGCCAATAAGAAGCTAGAGCTAATGGGCCAAGCAGTGATTTAATTAATACAGTTTTTGTGTGACTATTTCGGGGCTAAGCGGTCAGGAACCAACAAGCGTCTCTCTCCTCCTACGCCCTGGTAAATGAACCAAAGCTGTAGAGCAAAGAGCTGAGTCAGAGTCACAACCACTTGCTATGCTGTAACGGGTCACACGCCTTTCTCAGTGATGACTGACAAAGTGAAGAGAAATCGACTCACACCCCCCAATGATAGAATAAAAAGAAAAACTTCAAATACCCGAAAAGGCCAAGACAGGCCCTCATCTCACAATCTAGGCAAAATTTAAGCCCAAAATGTATCAAAGACATAAAACTGAGGGTTGGGAGCCTGTGGGTAAAGTGCTTCCTTGAGCAAGTTTGAAGACATGCATACACATATATACAATGTTTTTAAGAACTTGAGGGAATTTTATAGACACACACACACACACACACATTAAAAATAAAGGACAGTAAAATAATAGCTGGGAAGTAGTGGTACACACTTTTAATCCCAACAGTTGGGAGGCAAGCAGATCTCTGTGACTTTGAGGCCAGCCTGGTTTACTAAGCAAGTGCCAGGGCAGGCTCCAAAGGTACAGAGAATCCCTGTCTCAACCCCCTCTTCCCGGAAAAAAAAAAAAAAGTAAAATAAACAAATTGAAAAATAAGTGTCGAGGCAGGAGAGACAGACGCCTCAGTAGTTAGGAGCACTTACTACTCTTGCTGAGACTTAAGGTTCAATTTCCAACACCCTCACAGTAGCTCACAACCATCTGTAACTTCAGTTCCAGAGGATCTGATGCCTTCTTCTGGCCTCTATAGGCAAAACACCCATACATATAAAAAATTATTAAAACCAAATGCCAGATTAAAGTTTATTCCTCAAAACATAAGAAAGTATCCCAGTGCAATGCTTATCAATGCTAGAAAAAAAAAGAAACAGCTATTGTTTTAATATTTATGCTTTATATGCACAAAATATGTGGGGATGAGAGGGGGAGGCAGGGAAGTGGAGTATCTCCCTGTGTAGACCTGGCTGGCCTAGAATTTGCAGAGATCCTTCTGCCTCTGCCTCCAGAGTGCTCTGATTTTGAGTACGCACCCCTTTCTAGTCTTTCTGTTTTCCCTTTTCTTCTCCCTCTCAAATCACACTTGTTAAAAAGGAAGGTTGGGATCTCAGAGTGAACTTCAAAGGCAGTTCATCTGTCTAGCACATGGGAGGCCCTCCATTCAGTCCCCAACACAAAAAGCAAAAAGGTGTTCTCAAAGAAGGATTTGTTATTTACCTTGAGGAAGACACTCAGAACCAAAGAGAAGGATGTGTTAAAGAAAAGCAGGTTCAGCAGCAGTGCCAACAATGAGCTCAAGACAAAGCTGCAGGGCCTGAAGACTCACATGACACGTGTTTATTGGTAAAATAAATGAAGGAAGAGATAAGAAAGATCAGATAAGCTTACAAATGACTAGAGAAGTCTTTGAGGTGTGGCTGGCTATGGGTAGAAAGTAGCTGGTCACAGACCCCAAGTGAGTATGCTAATTCAGAAAGGCTAGGAATAGCATTACGCAATTATGCCATTATGTATTATGCAAAGAGAGAATAGATAAGCCCAACATTACAGGCCTGTAGGCCATCCAAGGTCTTTTATAAAGGCCAGCTGAACACACAAGTCAGCACTGAAGACAGGGATCTGGGACACATCAGTGCACACCGACAGCTAAGGCTAAGCACAAGTTCAGGACACGTCCCAGGCAGGTCACCTAGGAACTATACAGGCTTCTATTTACATAGCTCTTATCTAATATGCTAAGCAGTAAATACTAACAATCTTATAGATGGCTAAGTATTACGAAGCATTTAAAAAGTTAACAGCAAAAAGACAAAATGCAAAGAGATTAAAGGAGAACAAGGAGCAAAGAATGCTGTCGGGGGTGGGGTCAGGGTACGGGGAGTTGGGGGGGGGGATTCAGAGGGATTCTCTGGGGTCAAGATCACGGTAAATTCAAGTAGAGTACAAACACAAAAGGAAGGGTGGTATGTGACTTTTTTTTAGCAAGGTTTTGTTTTGTTTTACACACAAACACACACACACACATATATATAATACACATAATCGGGTGGTGGTAGTGCATGCCTTTAATCCCCAGGAGACAGAGGCAGGCGGATAGCTGTGAGTTTGAGGCCAGCCTGGTCTCAAGAGCTAGTTCCAGGACAGGCCCTAAAGCTACACAGAGAAACCCTGTCTTGAAAAACCAAAAAAAGGAAGGAAGGAAGGAAGGAAGGAAGGAAGGAAGGAAGGAAGGAAGGAAGGAAGGAAGGAAGGAGAAAAAAATATATATAATACATATCTATATTAAAGGTTATTTAAAAAAGAGGGTGGAACTTGTGACTGCTATTTCACAATGTGGAGATGTGCTAACAGTGAGTAATTTTTTACTAACTACGTATACAGTTGGTTCCACTAAGGCAAATGTATGGGAGTAGGTTGCAAAATGTGTTGAGGAACTGAGAACAGAACATAGAACGGTTCTCACAAGGTCCAGCAGCGAAGGAAAACAAGCACCATCCGCGGTGCTGGGCGCCAAAGGAGGGGTACCACCAGTTCACTAAACATTTACATTCCTGATCCATCGCTGGTGTGTTCTGTGTGTTTGGGGTTTTGTTTTATTTATTTGTTTGTTTGTTTGTTTGTTTTTGAGAGGCGGTCTCACTACGTAGCCCTGGCTAACCAAACTCCAATCTGCCTGCCTCTCTGCCCCAAAGTTCTAGGCCTGAGTCACCACAAACATTTCCACCCCATTGCAAAGATGTATTTGGGTGATGGAACTATCTTCCTTTTAGGTGACAAAGTTGACCAGTGGGGCTGGCAGGATAGCTGAGTGGATAAAAATGCCTGTGTGCTGCCTGGCAACCCAAGCTGAATCCCCGGAAGCCACATAAAGGTAAAAGAAAACTAACTACAGCAAGTAGCCCTCTGGCCTCCGTACTCACTACAGGGGTATGTACGTATATGTGCGCACAGCCGCACACTAGCAATAAAGTGTAACACACTGATTAGACAAGAGAGTAAGAAACCAATCTGCACAGGAAGTTATGCAATGCCCTGCAACAGGAAAGTAAATAAAAGGAATTAGAGAAACAAATGATTCACGACCCAAAGAAATGCCAACTTTAGCTTGCCTCCAGTGTTCTCATTAACAGAGATTTCAGAAGAACCTATAAAACTGTATCACAAATAAATACTAGGTGCCTCTTACAGGTGAATAACTCCTCCATCACCCAGGGGAAGAGAGAAACCTTTGTGGATAGAATTTATAATCCAACCCCGGATACAATGGTACACACCTTAAATCCTAGCATTTGGGAGACTTAAGCAGGAGAACTCAGGAGTTTAAGATCATTCTCACCTACACAGCATCAGGCCAGCCTGGGCAATAGGGCCAGCCTGGGCTACAGAAGATCCTAGCAATAGAAAGATGGGAGGGAGGAAAACAGGGAGAAAAGGAGGGGGAAATTAACGATCCAAAGCGTGTCTTCATCTTCTTCCCTTCACAAACGGTTTGCCCCACCCTACAACTTTTTCATGGAACTATCAATTAACCAGACAGAACGGGAGAACTTGGGCAAATTTTATTTACATCTGAGTTTGTTTAGTCATTTTGGTTTCTCGAGACAGGGTTTCTCAGCCTGCATCACCACCGCCCGGCTCATCTGAGTTTTATTTACAAATGATTAAATATAACTAGTTATCCAATGTGGGGGGAAAAAAAATCTTAAACCGGATGGTTGTGGCGCACTCTGGGCAGGCAGAGGCTAGGCGAATCTGTGAGTTCAAGGCCAGCCTGTTCCAGGACAGGCTCCTTCGCTACAGAGAAACCCTGTCTCAAAAAACAAAACAAAACAAAAAAAAAAAAACAAACAAACAAAAAACTTAAGCCTCCTGTCTGAATATTGGAATTTCCATAAGAAAGAGTCACTGCTCGAGAGAGAGGGGGAATGGAGAGGGGAGAGGGGGAGGGAAATGGGAAGCGGGGAGGAGGCGGAAATTTTTTCAACAACAAAAAATAAATAAATAAAAAATTTAAAAAAATTAAAAAGAAAAAAAAAAGAAAAGGAAGAGTCACTGTCCCTGGTTAATGTTTTCTCAAGGTTCCTTCTCTGGCCCTCCAACTCTAGTTCTATTCACGACCAGAGCAGACCCTACCCTGAGAAGAGAGATAGCCTAGCCTCATGAAACCCACTAGAAAACAAAGCGTCTCCTTACAAACACGATTAACTAACCGCTGGTAAGGAGACTTACAGAGTGCTAGCAGGCTCCCACAGGGAAGTGATCTTTGGTTTGAGGAATGTTTAGTGGTGGGAGAAGGAGAAAGGGGGAATAAAGAGCAGAAGGGCTGGGGGAAATGCTCCAAGAGTTAAGAGGAAGCTTTCCAGGGACAAGAAAGGGAGCTGGAGCCTGGAAAACCCACCAGGCTTGAAGGCGGCAGGAGCTCAGGTACTCAGCACCTTGGCTGGGTCCTAAAGGAACGTGAAACCCCTGACCAGTTCCAAGCACGTGACACACTAAGCCGTGTGCTTCTCCACGTTTACCCTGCCCCTGCTTACCCTTCCCAGCATCAGAGCTCTTTGCAATCCCCACTCCCACAGTCTGAGCTGGCTTTTAACAAATCATTTATATTTCCCACTTGAAAGCAAACAAGAGAAAAAAAATATTCAAGTTGGATTCTGCATTAACGAAGAAGACAAGTAGTTTGAAGGGAAAGAGTAGCAACTACTTAAATATTACAGTGACCAACAACTTTTATAGAAAATGCAGGGCAGGGAGCTTATAGTAATTTCTCACAAACAATCCCTAAATTTATATATCGCTTAAGCTACATGCCTATTAACACTTAAGATCAAAGACAAACTTAACAACTCCCTCCTGCTACTTAAAAACAGAACACGAGCTTGACTAAAGGTTTTGGCGCCCCGGCCCACAGTCTGATGTCTGGTAGTGCCATCTTTCCCCTCACACACATCCCACTCCACCCCCCGCCCACATCAGGAAAAAACTGACTTCCTGAGCACATTTTTTGGTGTCGCTTTTCAAAGAATGCGATGACTTCTAATTCTCAACTTTCTTTATTACTGACTGGCTTGCGAGACACCACATGATTCGGGGGACATCGAAGCCATCACTGATATTGAAAAGGCTGCCGGTCATCCGGATGGCTACGGGTAACTTTCCCGCCCTCCCCCCGGCGACAGGCAGCGTCGCGGCGGGACAGTCCGGCCCAGGCCAGGCCCGCAGAGCCGGAACGTCGCCGCCACCGAAGTCCCCTTCCTCTTGGGCTCAGGGTGGACCTGGACAGCAAAGGAGGAGCGGAGCGGAAGCTTGGGGTTACCTGCGGCTCAAGGGCAGCTGCGGCGGTCGGGGCGGTAGGTCAGCCGCGGGAGGGTCGCTGCGGAACGCTGTCCCTACGCGGGTCCGCAACGCCGCCAGCCGGGCTGCGGAGGAAGATAAAGAGCCGGCACCCACCCCCGTTCTCCGCCCCAACCTCCCAGCCCGCGGCTGCGTCACGCGCATCGCCCCGAGCTTCTGGATGCCATTGGTGGTCCTGCGGCGCCGGGCAACGCCCACTACCACGCCCCCCTCCCCGGCGCTTGGGTACCCGCGGCGCTTCTCCAGCCACCTGGTCTGGGGCTCTTTTGCAACCCTCCTCCAGTGTGGCTGCGAGGGGACCGACTCAACTTCCTGAGTCCGAAAAGGCAGCCTGCGTGGGACGAGGGCTGCCTGCGCTAACGGGGCTCTTGAAACTGACCGTTAAGGAAGAAGAAACAGTGGCCGGAATCCTATCATAAGTCGCTTTGTGGTCTAAATTATACTCGACTGAGTCTGTCCTTCAGTAACACACAAACTACAAAAGACAGAAATGAGTCGCTTGAAGTAATGAGACAATCAAGTAATTAAAAAAAATCCTTGAGGCTAAATAATAAAAAAAAATGGTACGGATAGATGTAGGACAGAGATAAAACAGTTTATGCCTTGGACTTCTCAAAAGCAAAGATGTGGGTGAATTTAGGGTAAGTGCAAGTGAAAAAGAAAGCTAAAAGAAACAGGCTGAAGAGTCCCTGTTGGTCTGTGAAACAATGTCAGATAAACTGGCTTCACTAATCAGTCAGTCCGTACTCAGTCCTATTGACCATTCCTCCCCGTGTCAGATGCCCTGAACAAAAGATGTCTGACCCTTACAAGAATTGCCTGCTCTGTGGACCTTTTGTGGACCTTTCCAGCAAGGAGCTCCCCTGCTGGCCCAGAGCAGACAGCTCTGCTCACCTTAGAGCTGGGCTCCTCTGGGACAACCGTGATTAATGCTTTTGTCAACAGTTGCCTGATAGCATTTGGAAGGGCTAGGCTGCCTGTGAGTCCTCCTGTCCCACTAGTTAGGACATTAGGGACTCATGAGTTCACTTCTGTTGGGACTCTTTTACACACCAGAAAAGATACTTGCCTTTTCGGTGTTTCAGTTATTTCATTTTTTTAAAAAAACTGAGCTGTGTAATATGCTTCTGGGTGTGGTGGTGCACACCTTTGGATCCCAGCATCTAGAAGGCAGAGGCTGGCAGATCTCTGAGAGTTGGAGGCCAGCCTGGTGTCTGCATAGTGAGTTCCAGTACAGCCAGGACTCTGTAAAGAAACCCAGTCTCAAAAAAAAAAAAAAAAAAAAGTAGAAGTAGCCAGCCTGATCTAACAGAGTGAGTTCCGGGATAGCCAAGGCTACACAGAGAAACCCTGTCTCAAAAAAAAAAAAAAAAAAAAAAGGAGAGAGAGAGAGAAGAGAGAGAGAGAAAGGCGGACAGACTGTGGTCCTTTGATGCAGCTGTTGCAATTTCAAGTGTGTGTTTCTAGGGGAGAAGAAAAATAATGAGACAATTGCAGGTAGTACTAAATGTTAGGAGAAAATACAGGATGGTTGGGGCAGAGAGATGACTTAATGATTAAGAGCACTGGCTGCTCTCCCAGAGGACCTGGGGTTCAATTCCTAGCACCCACACGGCAGCTCACAACCGTCTATAACTCCAGTTCCAATGAATTTGATACCGTTATACCAAATACACATAAAATAAATATTTTCTTAAAATACAGAGTGGTCAGAGAAAGAAGTGAAATAATGTCATAAATAATTGGAAAGGTTTCCTGAGTTTTCATTAAAAAATACAGAGAATTTGCGCACATAAACTACATTCAATTATTTAATCAACTACTTTTTTTTTTGCAACTTTTCTCTTCTTTTTATTTCTTTCTTGGAGACAGGATTTCTCTATGTAACAGTCCTAGCTGTCCTGGAATTAGCTCTTCTAGACCAGGCTGGTCTCGAACTCACAGAGATCTGCCTGCCTCTGCCTCCCAAGTGCTGAGATTAAAGGCATGTGCCACCACCGCCTGGTAACCACACTTAACTTTTGTAAAAGCAAAGGCAAGGGTGACTTTTCTGAGGTGATCTGAATTAAGACTTAAATAAGGAAGAAGAATTAGTCATACTAGCCAACAACTTTGGCTGGTTTGAGGAGCAGGAGGTTGAAGCACACTTGAGGGGGGAAGGGTGGCACTGGGGTTGAAACATTGAGCAAAGGCCCAATCCTGTGGTTTGGTCTTATTCATCAGCACAAAGGAAAGAAGGTTTGGGTTTTTGGGGGGAGGGAGGTAAGGAGTTGAGCCATGCTCTCACAATATAGCCCTGGCTGCCCTCTCAGTAATCTGTCTGCCTCAGCTGCTATTGAAAGCCTGTGCCACCATGCCTAGCCTGGTTTCCTTGCTGCCTTCTTTATTCATTTATGTGTGTTTCTTGTTTTCATCTAGGGTTTTTACATTTTGTACCCATTTTTATAGAGAATAATCTCAGAAAACTAGCAGAGATGGAACAGAAGAAACAAAGTAACAAAAAAGTTCTTGGGTAAGTAAGTGGTGTAGACGGTAGTTCTCTGGATTGGGGTGGTTGCTGTGGATAAAAGATGAAAGAGTTCAGAGTACTTCCCTGGGGTGCAGATGTGAAGAAAGGTAGGCACGAGGTAACTCCAGGTCATTTCCTTGAGTAACTAGGAGGGTGGCGATATGATCTAGTGCAAAGGTGACTAGAGAAACTCCAAAGCCTCTGACCGGAATCCAGGTGTCTGTCTCCCAAAACTGGCTTGTAAAATCTCACATCACCTAATCCTGAGAACAAGGCTAAATTAAATGTTGCTAATTTCGTCACATTCCAAAAAGGATTTACAGAAAGTAGCCAGTTGCTAGGGACATGAAGTTGATTGAGATTGTCTATTGATAACATAGCTAACTAAGCCATTGAGAACAGTGGGACAGATGTTACAATAAAAAGTTTAAGGCAGTGCCTACCTAATAGGGTTATTATATTTAATAAGTCCGTGTTTTCAAAGCCTCCAGCAGAGACCTTGGCAGCCAATGTCCCTGCCGCTGTTCTTCCAGATCTAGTAGGATCAGGTGGACTGGAGTAGATGGGAGGGAGAATTGGAAAGGAGGCATTCCGAGCCCACCTTTCTAAGTAGCAGGATAGTAGTCAGGGAAAGAAAGAGGAATTTTCAAAATAAAAGGAGAACAAGATCCAAGCCCTTAAGATAAAAAGGAGCCAGATCCATGAAAACAGGGGTAGCAGGCTATCCTTAACTATGGGGAGCATAGTTAACTGAGGAGCAGCAAGAGCCAGTGTGTCTGAGACATTCTGATTCAGACTCTCAGAGACAGTGGGGAGCCAGTGACAGATGCTAAGTAGGAGGGCCTCGTGATTTAGAAGACCTTACTGGACAGAGATGCAGCTGGAGGTGGGCAGATTAATTAGGAGGGTGATGTGTAATACAGGTAAGATGATGAAGAGCCAGTTTAGGCAATAGCCAAGTGGGATAGAAAGAATGAGGTGAGAGAAGAATGGGGAAAGGGCTGGGGATGCAGCTCAGTCAGTAGCCTGATGGCTGGGTGTACGAAGAGCCCTGGGTTTGATCCCCAGCACCACATCAATCATGCAGTCACAACAATGTGCGTGCAGCGTCCCAGCACTGAGACAGAGGTAGAAGATCAGGAATTCAAAGCTATCCCTGCAACATCGCAACTTTGAGACTAGCCTGTGCTCTGTGAGACCCTGCCTCTAAGAAAAGGGGAGTTGGTATTTGAAAGATGTTTAAAAGAACAGAATAAAATAGTATTTGGGTTTGTGGGAGCTAATTCAGAATTTGAGTTAGAAAGCAGGGTGGTGGGAATTAATGCTGGCCGAGGTAAGAATACACATCCTGGAGAGGCACAAGGATAAGCTTTACTCGGGTTAATGTTTCAGCCACATTACTCCTGCTAAAACCTAAAGGAACTAAACAAGAGGAAATCAAAATAGCCTTCATGTTTTCTCTGCTTATATCAACAAGGCGTACTTGCAGACAGACAATAAAATCAAATACAAAAAAAAAGTACAGAGGTTGGGATTTTGGTTCAATCCCCAGCATCAGAAAAAAAAAAAGAAAGAAAGAAAAGAAAAGAGAAGAAAAGAAAAGAAAAGAAAAGTACAAATAGCTGGGTGGTGGTGGCACATGCCTTTAATCCCAACACTTGGGAGGCAGAGGCAGGTGGATCTCTGTGAGTTTGAGACCAGCCTGGTCTACAGAACGAGTTCAAGGACAGGCACTAAAGCTACACAGAGGAACACTGTTTAAAAAAAAAAATGTGTGTTTTAAAAAAATGTGTGTTTAAAAAAAAAACACAAATATAAAAGTTAGTTGACATTTTAATTAGAGATGCAACTAAATTTTCTTTTTCTTTTTGTTTTTCGATATGGGGTTTCTCTGTAGCTTTGGAGCCTCTTCTGGAACTAGCTCTTGTAGACCAGGTTAGCCTCGAACTCACGAAGATCCACCTGTCTCTGCCTCCCTAGTGCTGGGATTAAAGGCATGCGCCGCTACCGCCCAGTGATGATGTGAAGGAAGAGAGCTATGGCTTGCACCTAGACTCTGAGTCCTTTTGCCAGAGTGTGCTAAGTTTTACAGAAAAGCCAAAAAAAGAAATAGGATGTGAACATTAACAGGGCAATTTGATGCATGCCTTCAATCCCAGTGCTCAGGAGGTAGAGGCAGGTGGTTCAAGACTATCCTGATATGCATAGAGAATTCCTTGCCAGCCAGACAAAATAAAATAACAGCAACAAAAAATTAAAGATCTTAGTTCTTCAGAGGAGCACATCTCCCTAAATGATACAAAATGGAAAGTCGATGGCTATCCCATCCTCGGCCTGTCACCACTGGTACTGAGGCATACAGAGACTCATTAAGAGTGGGGCAAGGGTCAGGTGTGATGGTACACACCTTTAATCCCAGTACCCAGAAACGTGAAGCAGGAGGACTGCCATAAATCTGAGGCCAGACTGGACTTCCCAATGAGTTCCAGACCAGCCTGGACTAGAGTGAGAACCAATCTCCAAATAAGCAAAACAGAAAAACAAAACGAGACAGCCAAGTACACCAGAATGTAGACATCCACTCCATTGTCTCTGAAAACTCCT